ATAGACATAGATTTCTTGTGTGGGAGTTCTTATCAATTATAATAACAAAATATAGTAGCCTAAAGTTTTGACCTTAATAATACTACTTCTGTCCCATGGATCTCGTATTGTGCCCTGTTATCAAATAAAATATTAATTGGTACCTAGGCCATGGAAAATATATGTTTTCATTTGACATTTGGCGATAGAAGTTTATTGCAATATTTTTAATTTGTTATTATTTTATATTACTTTTTTATTGTTTGTTTACATTAAACAACCGACATACAGAGAATGTCGACTGGCAATTCCCGAGCTGCCAATGACGATTTCCGAACAGATTAGTTTGCCGATATACACAGAAACTTTTCCGATCATGAAACAGTTTAAGGTGTTTAAAGACAGGAAATATCTCTAGAGTACACAATTTAAAAAATGCTCTTTAGTAGTTTAAAAACGACTCTAAAAAATAATAATAAATATAAGCATTAAAACCGTATCCCGAAATACGAACGTACCTCATTCAATAGTAATAACATCATATATTATATCACGAGAACTATGAATTTAATCGGTTAAACTAGGCTCAGTAGTTTTTTGTTTGGTTTTTGTTGGAAAATGTTGAATGCAAAATAATTTAATAAAATCACGAGACCGCGTAGCGGTCGAGGGGTTTTATTTTTAATTATTTTGCATGAAACTATTTTCCAAAAAGAAAAATCAAATAAAAAACTTACTGAGCATAGTTTGACAGATTAAATTTATAGGTTGAGTGATATACGTCTAGATTATTTCTCGAATTAAAGAAAACTATTTGACAATTCATAAAATCTGACGTATGTGTCAAAATTTATAAATATTTTTTTAAAGAAAATTCCATTAATTTAAGGTATGTAATAAGTAATAATTGATATTTCGTAAACTAGATAACTTATTTTTTATTGTTTTTTTAAAAATGTTTGTTAAAACTTGTAAATAACACCATAAAATCGTAAACAAAAATCCAATATGGAGGCTAAAATTTAATCGCTGTTAAAAAGTTCTAGTGATTTAATCGCTTATATAAACGAAATTTATTCGAAAATTCAAGGCTTTTGATTGGTTCATATTATAATGAGGAAAATAATCATAAATTATATCACGAGAACTATGAATTTAATCGGTTAAACTAGGCTCAGTAGTTTTTTGTTTGGTTTTTCTTGGAAAATGTTGAATGCAAAATAATTTAATAAAATCACGGAGACCGCGTAGCGGTCGAGGGGTTTTATTTTTAATTATTTTGCCTGAAACTATTTTCCAAAAAGAAAAATCAAATAAAAAACTTACTGAGCATAGTTTGACAGATTAAATTTATAGGTTGAGTGATATACGTCTAGATTATTTCTCGAATTAAAGGAAACTATTTGACAATTCATAAAATCTGACGTACCTATGTGTAAAAATTTATAAATATATATTTTTTTAAATTCCATTAATTTAAGGTATGTAATAAGTAATAATTGATATTTCGTAAACTAGATAACGTATTTTTTATTGCTTTTTAAAAAATGTTTGTTAAAACTTGTAAATAACACCATAAAATCGTAAACAAAAATCCAAAATAAAGGCTAAAATTTAATGGCTGTTAAATAGTTCTAGTGATTTTAACGCTTATTTAAACGAAATTTATTCGAATATTCAAGGCTTTTGATTGGTTCATATTATAATGAGGGAAATAATCTAGACGTATATCACTCAACCTTCAAATTTATTCTGTCAAACTATGCTCAGTAAGTTTTTTATTTGATATTTCTTTTTGGAAAATAGTTTCATGCAAAATAATTAAAAATAAAACCCCTCGACCGCTACGCGGTCTCTTGATTTTATTAAATTATTTTGCATTCAACATTTTACAAGAAAAACGAAACAAAAAACTACTGAGCCTAGTTTAACCGATTAAATTCATAGTTCTCGTGATATAATATATGACTAATTACTCGTATACTACGAGTCGTACTTGATATATTTCGATCTTATAAAGATAAAATGGCTCAAAAACCATAAAGTTTAGAAAAAAGTGTCATAAGTTTATAGTGTTCAACTGAAATACACCAAGTTATCTTATTTCTAGAAGGTTTTCTCTAATATTATCAACAAGTTTCAAAGTAATGCCTATTTCGGCTGGGAAGATATTGGACAAAATATAAAAAGCTACATAAAGAGACAATAAAATCAGAAAACAGAAAGTGAACTTTTCGATCGAATTTGATGAATGAACTAATTGGCACTTTTTGTTCAAAAAGACCATCAGGGTACCTACTTCCCGTACAAATGATTTGCTAGAAAAAATGATAAACCCAGAAAAACAACCAAGGTAGAGAACACAGTAAAACTGCGATATAGGTGTGGATATTCACAAAAAAAAATTATAAAGAAGATGTGCACATACATGCCAAAGAGAAGAGAAGTGATCCCAAATGTGAAAAAGGGCTGTTTTGCAACGTTTAACATCAAATAGTCTCTAAGTCTGATAACAAATAGTTTCATTTATATTTATTGTTTTAGAATGATTTTTGCCTCTATTTTTTTATATTTAGTTTTGAGTATATTTTCTTATTTCTTTTTCATGAATAAAATAAATTTTATTTTAATTTATTTGCTTTGTTATATATTTTTTGGTTTATTTTATGTACTTATGTACGCGTTTAAAAAAATATTAAGTAGTCCTTTGGGACAATATTCTCCCACCAAAAGTTTTGGTAGAGCCCATTGTGACAATATTGTCCCACCAAAAGTTTTGAGTTTGGGGCAGGTAATAAAAATATAAATTTACTATGATCAAACTAAACATGTTTGTAAACTCATCACTAAAGCTCATTGTATTATTTTGATCTCCACACTTTTGCCCTATAAAGGGTTAAACACAATTTTCTAATGACGTGTGAATAATATTGAAGTTATGATGATTTTAAGTTAGGTTTTTTTTAACTTAAACTTAAAATAGATGCTATATGCCTTCTTTATTTTTTTACCATAACGGTGGTGTAGTAGTCAGCGCTGCGCTACCATTTGCAGGCCGCAGTAGCATTTATGGATTATAATCAATAAATGCTACTGCAGATTGCAAATGGTATATCTAGAAAAGGAATAATTATCTATAAATGCTATCGCGGCATAGGGGCGGGCAGGAGTTCCAGCGTTAGAATATTTTTGTTTTGGTTTTAATATTGCTTGTTTATATTTTAATTTTCTGATTATATGTTATAATCCCTATAGGAATTTTAATGTTAACTGTTTTTTATATTTATTACTTGAATAAAGTATTTTGCTTAACATTTCTTGTTAACAATGACCAGGTTCCGACTGTGTATTACTGCAATTGGGCCTGTTTTGTGGACTTAAATTAAAAATAACTTAAAAAATACTATGGGCGCCATTTTCGAGACACCTTAAATAACGGTTTATAAAAAAAATTATGTAAAAAATATCGCATTAAATTTATGCTTGACTACGTTTAGCATTATTCAAAGGCATATGGATTTTATCCCTATAAAATTAATTATCCGCATTAAGCTTTACATCTGGCAAAGAAAGAAAAAATCTTTTATGTATTCCGAGATAGACTATTGACTTTATATAAGAGACGTAGAGGTGCGATTGTAAAGCTTTAGTTGACTAATGACTAAACTGATACCTTATTGGAAAACCCTTTTCAGAAAAGGGAAACTAATGATGTGTGCTTAAGAATCTATTTATGAAGTTAAATATTGAATTTTTTTTGTAAAAATATTAATAATATTTTTAACACAATTTGGATTTTTTTATGTATTCTTTAATTAAAATAGTTATTTATGTCATTAGGTTAAGAAGTAAGGCTTTTTGTGCTAAGCTCAAAGTTTGAAGGCCGACGCGTAGCGGAGGCCTACAATTGAGCGAAGCACAAAAAGACACTTCTTGGCCGAATGGCATACAACATTTTATCTTCAAAGCACTTTATATAGGTCAATTTAATTCAACATGAAAGCGGCCTAACCTCACTTTTTTGAATCTCATTTATTTATTAGCTAAAGATTACATTAAATGTACAATAATTATTATTCCTTTTAGAAGCAGTAATAGTTTGACAATACCTAGCTACATGATTTAAGTAGAAATGGATTTTTGTAAGAAAATGGTTTACTTACCCTCTTGCTATTACATTGAATTCAATTAATTGTTTAATAAATAGGTATCTAATTTCAATTTGTTTGCATTTTTATTAAAAAAATAGGTAGTTTGGAATGTTTACGCTGTGTTTAACATTTAATTTTACTGAAAACTTAAAGCAAATTAAAATTTAAAGATAATTTAAATCGTAGAAAAAGAAAACACAACTGTGAAACGTCAAATTGCAATGTCCTAACCTCACTTTTTGTTTTATTATTCATATTTAATTTTACAATAATTTAATGAAAAATATTAAACACTATAATGTTATAACAGTAAAACAAACAAATTGGTGCTTATTATAAATAAATTAAACCAGTTTAGTACGTTAATTTCTTAGAAAAGGATTAATTTGTCAAAACAATACCCCTAGCGAGAAAAAATCGAACTAATTACTTGCCTCATAAAAATTTTTATCGGCCTAGGCCATAACAAGGTATTTCTTTATCGAATGTTGACAACAATAAAGTTTAAATTATAGACCGCGTGGAGATAAACAATATTACAATCTCTTCTTGATTGTAAAGTTATTTTAATTAAAATTTTCTTTGATTGATTAGATTCTAATACTGGTCTTTAAAAACAAGATCTTATTTTGAATTAGTTTAATAATTGTTCGTGTCAAACAGATAATATAATAAATTATTATTGCCAATAAATGTAAATATAGTAGGTATCCAAGATACCTGTAGGTACCTAAAAAGTGTCACCTGCAAGTAAGATCAGCATTATTTAATGCTGACCAATGACCGAAAGTCCTTTCGTCTCCTTGCATTTAAAAATACAAAAAAATGTTTAATGCTGCTTGGATAACATATGTAGACATTGGATTTTATTTTTTATCATTTATATTACTAATCTGTGACATTGTTGCATATTTATTTTATTTTTATATTATAATCTTCTTTTAAAAGAATATTTCAGGTTTGTGGTCTTTAACTCAAGTATTGTTATGCCGCATGCATATAAAAACAAGAATCCCAACTGAATGGCCATTTATGTGATAAACTTTAAGGTCAGTACAAATATTTTTTATATTTAATTTAGGATATTAATTGCAACTTTAATTGTTGAAATATTAGTAGCTTATTAAAAAATAAAGGTTCATCAAATAAAATATAGTCAAATTTTGCTTTCCTTTTGAAATACAGATACAAATAAAATAACTGTTTTTTATATTTTTTAAAATATTAATTATATATGGGTCATTTTATCAAATACAATTTTTTTGTGTGGCTCTTTCGAATCTTTTTAAAAGTTTGTGGATCTATTATCTATATTGAATAGCTCCACAAAAGTTCATTTTTGATGTATACATAAAAAATTACTCAAGTCCTTAATAATAAGTATACTTATTAGTCCTTCGGAGGGGACTTTAAGCCGTCGGTCCGTTCCTACCCCTAACCCGCACAAGCCATTCAGTTGGCTTATGGGACATCTTAGTTTGGATGTAAGGGTGGAACTAAAAGAGCACTTTATAACTTTATATACCTATAGGTACGTAAATATCATGATACTAAGATCATGGTAAATACTAATTGATGATTTTTCAAATTTTGACAATATTTTTTTATCTTTTTCGATATTTTCTTTTTTGGGAGAAAACATTATTTATAAAAATACAAACATACAGTTTTCCTGGAGAAAGTTCTTTATTTTTCAATAAAAATATATTTTATTATATTCAATTTAAGTGAAAAATACGATTTTTCTCGCCTTGCAGCAATTGTTTTTTTTTCAAAAGCTGATAATAATTTACACAAAATAGGTAAAAATGTTTCTATTTAACACCATTAAATAATTAAGTTATTGTAACAATTAGGTTACGTATTCTGAAAATGATAATATCATAATATAATAATAATATCATAATATAATAATAATAATAATAATAATAATATAATAATATAATAATATAATAATAATAATATAATAATAATAATATAATAATATTATGTTAATATGTAAATTTTTGTCACTTAAATAAGAATTTTGTTAAGCATAATTTCGATTTTTTTTCCTGTAACTAAATTAAATGTTTTGGTCTACTTAATTTTTTTTTATTTTATTAAATTTCAAACAAGAATAATTATTTAATTAATATTTTTTCATGGCAAATTAAAACTAATTAAATGAAATGGAAAATTTTAATCATTGATTGGATATTATTTGGTTAATTTTAACCTATTTCTCTCAATATCAACAAAATATAACAGACAAAAAAATATTAAATTTAACCAGCGGCGTATAAAAAATATGTCACCTTGTATTACATTATATTATATTATATTATATTATATTATATTATATTATATTATATTATATTATATTATATTATATTATATTATATTATATTATATTATATTATATTATATTATATTATATTATATTATATTATATTATATTATATTATATTATATTATATTATATTATATTATATTATATTATATTATATTATATTATATTATATTATATTATATTATATTATATTATATTATTAAAATAACGTCATTACAAATTAAGATAATTAATCTCTTAAATTCGAGACGATAATAAAGAAAATACTTAAAAATATTTTAACTTTAACACCCTGTATATTAAAGAGGAAGCAAAATTTAACCATATTTGACAAACTAACTACATATATTTTTCTATAAACTTTTGGCTGGTTTAATTCTGATTATTTAAACTGTAAACCCTTGAGAAAATTGTACGTATTTTTAGTTTTTAATTCATTTGTAAAACTTTATTCTGGAACTTATTTAGAAAGTCTTAATATAACAATATTTGAGAAGTTGTTTTTGTTCCGTTTACTTTTAATCAAAAATATAAATTATTTAAATTAATGTACTACGTAGTACAAATACTAAAACTGTTCTTATAAAAAATGTTATTGAAATATTTATTTTGTGCCGTCCACAACTGTTCATTATTAAAATTATCTTCACTTTTATAAAATATTGCTTGCGTTTTCTTTATTAATAATTGACAATTTTAATGCCCAAATAATATAATACAAATTATTATGATAAATAACCTAAAATTTTTTTTTATAAAAACAGTTTTGTGATTTGTAGTGTCCGAACGCTAATCACTTTAAAACAACTTAATCCATTAAAGGGATTTCTTTTAAGAAGTTTTTATAAACTGAATTAATTAAAAACAACTTTTTTAGATCTGCGAAAGAAAATGAAGACAACTTTAGTTCTAACTATCGCATTAGCCTTATTTCTAGCATGCAACGCCAAACAATTTTCAAAATGTGAACTAGCTAGACATCTCCTTCAACAAAACGTGGAAAAATGGCAAATTGGCACTTGGGTATGCATCGCCCAACACGAATCCAACCTGAGCACTACAGCCATTAACCGTAAAACCGACGACTACGGAATATTCCAAATAAGTTCACTTTATTGGTGTAACCACGCCAGAGCTGGTAAAGGATGTGGACTTAGTTGCAACAGTCTCTTAGACGACGATATACACGATGATATTCAATGTGTTAAGAGAATCTTTAAAGAAACTGCCAAATTTAGAGTAAATGGATTTATGGCATGGACTGTGTATCCCAAATTTTGCAAGGGAGATACTCGTCATTACGTTGCTGGATGTTTTTAGAAAAATAAAATATAAAATAAACGTGATTAAATATTAATTAATAAAGCTTGATGAGTATATTATTTTTTAATCAAGTACCTACTTTCAAAATGTTGAAGACCCTGATTTACCAGCATAGGATCTTTAAACTGTTCCCGAAATCTGTGTAAAATTTGGGTTCTTTAATTTGTTATAATATATGTTTTAATTGTTAATTGTTAAATAGGGTGGTTCAACTATTTTTTAAATAAATCGAATGATTTTCCGTTGTATAAAGGAAAAAAGAACCTTTTTCTAAAGGCGATACTGACAAAGGACCAGGGATTATAAAAGGATCATATCCTTTAGTCTATACATCTCACACCTCATTAATATTCCATATTTGAATGGTTCAATTAAGAAACAAATTGGTGCAATATTCTTAGTAAGTACAAACATGAATTTTAGTAAGTTTGGCACTTGATGGTTAACTATCGCAACACAAACATCTACAATTTATCAAAACAAACATTTAATTACTGAATTTGTCAGACAAAACCATAACAAACTAGAAGATACAAAATTAGCAGTTGTAAAAGGGATGGATATTAACCTTGTAATTAATAAAGAGCTGATTTAAAGTGATTATTAACTTGTTCTGTTTTCGAAGTTTGAAACAGATTTTTATCTTTGATATTAAAAAAAGGACGAAATTATCGGTAAGTTAGTTACTTGAATCCTGCAGAGAATATCGAATTGTTGAAATCGTATTCCTGGTAAATCTAATTTCGTAACAAATTTAAGTGAAACGAAAAATTTATATGGGAAATATCTTTCAAGTATTTACAGATTTATTTTATAGGTCAAATTCACATATTTTCACAATTTAAACCCGAACATTTTTTTCTTTGAAAATAATATGTTGGATTAAAAATTATAAAATTAGCAACATATTATGTGCAGGCAATGCAAGTTTATATTTGTCTTAATGCGTACAAACTATGCTAAATAATATTATGTAAATTAAAATTTATTATTGTTTTAAAAGCATTATAAAATCTCTTAAACTACGAGTCTCTTAAATGTTTTAAAATACTTTTTCAACATGATCTACAAATAATATTATTTTTTCTTTAAAGCTATTTTGCCATGTTTAGAATAAGCTTACCATTTCGACGTTAGATACACTAATATACAGGGTCCCAGAATATGTGGACAATCTCTCGGATTTAGATAGACAAGTTTCTATACATTTTTTTTCCTACGGCCCCACCTACGGAGATACTGGTCCATAACGGACGCCCCTGGAATAAAGAAAAAAGATAGAAAATTTTAAAACTGGTAAATGTCCAAAAAAAACATTGCAAAAAAGATAAAAATAAATTCAAAAATCTTTATTGTTCAAAAACATTTTTTTTTTCGTCGATCAGGAGTAACTTTTTTTTAGTTAAGTGAGTATGAGTATATGAGTATAAGAGACGTATAACCGGCCCCATTTCCTCATGCTCCCGGGCCCCGCATAGGTCTCTGTTTACTTGCGCCGATTTTCTTTCGCCACCAGCAACGTGCCGGCTTCACAGATGTTTGCTGGTTGCGAATGTCCATTGCGTCCCGTACCCTTTGTTACTATTGTCTTAATGTTACTGGTGCATTTTGTTTATTTTATTTTTTTTTGTTATTTTTTTGGTTAGTTTTTCTCATGTTTAAGCGAAAAGTGCCTTAGGGTTTTTCAAGGTACCTTTCATGGTGGAAAATAAAATTAGGTCATCCAGATTTTAAGGTTACTTATCGAGAATTAGTTATCCTCTTTTGTTTATCTCGTGAAAAGCATCCAAATCCGTGGCTAGACCGCTGTCGATCACCCGTAAGGTGTCACTCTACACCTCAACTTCAACACTTCCCTGACCTAAGGGTGGTCTACTGTAGACCGTCTACACACACTAGTTGCCACACTACAGACTATTTGCACTTTGTAGCAATCATTGCGAGCTTTGCTGTAAGTTTCAAGAGCGCGACACAGCCAGATGCGACCTAGACAAGTACTCGAACGTGACTGTGTAACTTTTTTAAAGTAACTTTTTTTTAGTTTAGGCTGACTAAAATATATGTATTGTTGTGCCTTTATAGTAAAGGGTGTAAAAAAATAGCATTACTCTGTTAAAGCCAGTCCGTCCCTGACAAACTAAATAAGCCGAATGTGATTAAAAAGGCCCATTTTAAGGAATCTTCCCTAGTAAACAATATATTAAAAAATTGATAAATTCCACCTAGTAGTACAAAAATTATTTAAAAACAAACGATTTCCAGGGGTGTACGTATGGGACCGTATCTTTGGAGAGGAGGCCGTAGAAAAAATATATTAATATTATTTTTATGTTTTCTATTTGAATTCGGGAGATTGCCCACATATTCTGGGACACCATGAATATAGTTTAAAATATTACAGCATATAAGAAAGTTTTATAAAATAATTTTAATTAATTTAAATTAATTAAATAACTTTATTATTAAGAACACTCACTACTAAAGTGATTTTTATTGTCGCCTTAGCTGTAAAGACCAATCAAGAAAAGTTTTTTACCTCCGAGTCTGTAAAAAAATCGTTTGTACCAATCAACAAATTTAATAACTGTCAGATCTACCTAACCTCACTTTCTACTTTTAATAATTATTTTTATTATTGTACTATAAAAAATAACTATATTATAAAATTTTCTATATGCCATATATACCATATATGCCATTTGGCTGAAAAGTTTCTTTTTGTGCTTTGCACAATGGTGTTGGTATATTTAAAAATTCAGCTAAAGTTATGTACTGGAGATGCGAAAAATGTTATCTAAAAAATACAAATATTACAGATTTTATTCCATTTTAAATTTTTATTATTTATATTATTAAAATAAAAAAAAATATTTAAAATGGTATAAAATCTGTAATATTTTAATTTTTTAAATTTGTCGATAAATTATAGTAGATTATAAATTGCTCCACTTTAATTTGAATTATATCAAATAGGGGTACCAGGAGGTGAGGCGACACAAAAAACTAACTTTTTTTCGCAAACTTCAATTTAAATTCGGTTGGCGCCGAACTTGTCCATTTAATGTCATTATAAACTATTATAAATTTTGTGTAGGTTCCATGTCTAATAACTGAGATATTGGTATACCCAAAATCCAAGTGCCGCCACTGCTGTTATAATTAGTTTATAAGCCATCGACATGATCTCCTTTTCTTTAGATACGGATTTTTTAAAGAATCCATGAAAAATAAACCTTGTGCAGAAGTATTATTTCCCAGAGATTTCCCATAGATTATTTTAAAATTCGTTTTCAAATTAAAAAACAAAATTATTTGTGAATGTGTCTGATGCCTCAAAAAATCATGTTAGATTTTGAAGACATGCTATGGAAACTTTTCAAATGAAGATATCAAATTAGGTTTTTTAATTTTGGATATATTTCAATCGTAAATCTTGATATGCCTATTATACCTACCAAAATATCAATTTACCTATTTATATTATAACATCGCTACTGAAACAATTTAGAGATTTTCAGGGCTAGCCCTGATGATGTCACTAGACAAGTGACGAAAGCGCTTGGCTACTCATTTTATTAATAAATATACCTATATACAAAACACACCCCCTTTTTATTAATTTAGAGATTTTTAATCATAATTTTTAAGCAAAAATCATTTTTTGCAACGGTACCCAAGTATACTTGCTATAGCATTTATAGTGGTTAAAACGTGTTGGCCACTTATACTTGGAACTGTAAAGTATATTGCCAAAATCGCTGCCACGTGGTAGAAACGGTTCTTTTACGTGGAAGTGACTAAAATGGAAAACACTTTTTTAGTGTCAGTTACCTACGTTTCAACAACGTTCTTCAATTGTATACAGGCACGTTAATACCACGTTGTGATTACGTTACTATAACGTGGAGGTATAGTGGCCAAAACTTAATCGTAACTTTACTAATCTTTACTTTCTATCCCCGTCTCTTTCCAGCATAATATGCATAATAATATTATTATTTATCTTATTATCTTTGCTTTCTCTGACTGGATATTAAACTAACACTGAATTATAATACTGTAAGAGTACAACTTGCAAATAATAACTAGAATTAAAATAATCCAAAGAAATAAAATTAACACAACAATTAAATTTTACTGTTAAACATGGGTTTCATAGCATGAAATATAAGCACGCCCTGTTGAAATATATGGTAATAAAAAAATCTATAAATTTAGCGGATATGAAAATTATTTATCTAGAGGCCTAAAATATTTTTTTTTATTATTTCTGATCACCTGAAACCAATCAATATGTATTAACGTGTTAAATTTGGTGCGGTAATAACCAGAATTATTAAACTACACATTTATTTCCCTACAATGGCGATTATTTGTAAACATGTCTGCTTTTGAAGAAGGGAACTTTAAAGTGGTAATTTTAACGAAACGTGGAAATCACTTAAGCATGTAGCAAGAACGTGGCAATCACCACCGCAATTATATAATCAAGTTTTGCCACATTCAAGGTTTGGGAAAAGTTCCGAAAACGTTGCCAAAACTGATATACCCACTTTACTACTACTACCACTTCAAATTAATACTTAAGTGATGTGATTTGGTTACAGTTATTATTCATAATCCACTCTAAAGTTTAGACAACTTTAAGGTGGTGTCAAAAGTGGTCATAACATTTCAGATACCAGACTAATACACCAAAAAGTTATAAAACTATAAAGTATATTCTGCTGGTACAAATCACATGATTACAACTATGCTAATATAATATGGAGATATTTTAACTGTATCGTGGTAGATTTAGTTATTTAAACGTTATTGCCAGTGCCAATTTGCCACTCATTTGAAGTGGTGATATCAGTTTTAGTCACTATGCTACTTGGGTATGGTTGTTTTTAGTGACTTATCAGTAATAAGTTATCAACATCATAAAAGTGGCTTCACATTGATAATCGACATCATGTCCCAACCCAAACTTTGAGATTAGCACAAAGACTCTCTTAAAATAGATTAGTCAAAAATGACTAATTTTCATAGCGAAAAAGCAGACTAATTA